TTGTAGTTCATTTACGTCGCACTAGAGCTGCACAATGGGCTATTGGCGACGGTCTGGGAAACATCCCTGAGGATGATCCGAAGACACGCCATCACAATTTCGATCCTCTGCAGAGGGGATGGCACCCCCGCTTCGGTAGCCCGACAACCTGCACGCGAAGTCGAGCACTTTACGGTAGAACAGTTTAACGAGGACCAATACCGCACACCTTCGATCCCTACGCAGACTGAACCAGGTGGTCACCCACCCGCACACTGACCGCAACCAGTGATGCTTGACTTCGGTGATCTGCTGGGAACCTTGTCTTACCGATCTGTGGAACGCAAACTAGGAGAATTAGCGTAGAAAAATCATGCTTTCGATCCTCTTGTGATGTCACGTGCCTGCTATCAGGCATAGAGTATGTGTGGAGTAAGCGATAGTAAGTCGAATAGCCTACAGACAGCCATAGTGGATATTGCAGGTTCGTGCTTTGAAGTTACAGAGAAAACTTACTGTTTACAAGTGAATAACTATTAGGCATTTTGGGGGACTCCACAATCATTGTTCCACCGCTCATTCAGTAGCGTCAAGGTAGAGGGTTCGAATCCCACCCCTGGATGTGTCTTTTTGAAACCTTTCTATAACTTAAGCTAACAGTTGTTTAGTTTTACAAGATCTGTAATGAGCACATAAACCTGTAATTATATTTAAACAAAATTAACAGGCTTTCAGTAGTCACAGTAGTAATGCTTTGTTTTTGTCGCACTAGAGCTACACAATGGACTATTGGAGATATTCTGAGAAACGTCTCTGAGAATGATTCGGATCATCACAATTTTGATCCTCTGCAGAGGGGATGACTTTTCGTTTTGGTAGCCCGACGACCTGCCAGCGAAGTCGAGCTCTGGACGGTAGAACTGTTTAACGAGGAACAAATCCCTTCGTAGGCTAATCAAGTGGTCAACTATCTGCTCACTGACCGTTGCCAGCAACGCTTGACTTCGATGATTTATTGAAATCGGATCTTTTGATCTGTCCATTACCGTGGGACTTAATTGTTGCACATTTGCATACATATGCAGGTTGGTGTGCTCATTGGAAAGAGGGCTTATTAGCCCTTGTTACGTTGAATGCCAAAGAGCACAAAATAGAGAAGGGCATCACAAAGATCCATGTAAGGTTACGGTAGGATTCGAACCCACAACCTCAAATCTATAAAGCCTTTGGTAGATCAGTGAGACCGCTTGTCCAAAGAGGTTCCTAAAGGTACTGTTTAAGAAACTGTAATTTAGACACTAACTTCAGGCACTAACTAACTGCAGATACTGTTTAAGAAAATAGCCCTATGCGCATGTCGCAATAAAATGCGCTTTCACATCCGGTTTCAGATTTGTCTATTTAAGCCTGGTCTGTGCCAATTTGCTTCAGAAATTTTGTTTGTGCAGTGCGATCATATTTGGATTGTGATAATTTCCAAGCTTCTTCTTAAAGGTAAGACTCGTTTTGATTTGTCTTCAACTAATTAAACGTTTAATGTAGTAGTTAAGTCTATAAGTTTTAAGTTATAATTTATTACGTTAGCATCTTTTTTATTTTGAAGTTAAAAATTTCTTCGAAGTGTAATTTTAGCCGTTGAGTAAGAATTTCTTGTTGTGATATATATACGTATATAGTGCTAGACTGGCAACTTTCTTAATTCTAATTTTTACTATATCACAATTTTAATAATCTCTGCTGAGCATATCTTTATCTCTCTAATTACTTTAAACTTATTCATCTAAAGATTACCGATCTTTAACTTTAAGATTTTTCCTAATGCGAAGTCCATTTTCACAAGATTTTTAAAGATCTTAATGATAGGCTAAGTAGTCCTTTTTTTTTATCTAATGTATTGCATTTTCCTTTGAACGTGTGTTTTTAGTGCTGCTATTAAATCTTAATTTTAAAAAATCTTCTCAAACTGTCTATGCAATTGGTAGAAATGTAGACTAGAACTATACAGCTTGTGGACTGACTCCTTATATTAATAAATTTTGTTCGAAGCGTTTTAAACTTAAGATTAACATAAAATCAATGATTGCGAATAGTTTTTGAGTTTATCTAAAAGTTTCTTATACAATTATCTTTAACGGAATTCGGCTTAATCAAACTAAAATTAGTCTTAAATTCGTAAAGTTTAAATAAATTTATCTTTATCTTTATCTTATGGTTATAGTTTCTAATTTGTAATTCTTGCAAATTGAGCATGCAAGTATTAATTTGCAGTTAAAGAACTTAAACCACTTTAGAATTTTTTCGTCAGGTTTACTTTCTAAATTTAATTTCTTTCGCTTATATAAAATACATTTTGGTGCTTAAGAAGTTAGTTTATAATGGAATAAATCCTGTGATTTGGATTCCAACGAAATCTTTATACTGGTATCCAACTGCGTTAATGTTATTTTAAACTTAAGATACTTACTAATTACTGAAAATCTCTACGAAATTAAAATTCATATTTCAAATATTCCAGATACTTTTGTGCCTAAATCTGATTAGAAGTTAAACTGAAATTTTAAAGCTTTTCAAGACTGTTTTTAAAATAGATTTCATTCGAATTTAATTTTCCAAAGTAAAAAGAGTTCCAGTTCCTATTACTACTTTTGTACTAGATTCATATAGATAGGTCTGTTGGATAGATTTTCCATATTGTTAATCTATCGCCTAACAGTTTTTTAAAATTGTTAAGGCACTTAAAAATTTCACGATTAAAGCTTTTTAAATTGGTCTTTCCATATATATCCAAAACTTTTGAAAATTATCTGAAATTTTGACTTTTTAAATTTACTTCTAAGGTGTTCAAAGTTTTACTTTGACTTCTGGTCAACTCATTTAAAACATTTTTATTTTGTGTGTGCAAAATACATTGTATCAGCTCAATATAGAATCACACGGAATATAGCTATTTCTATGAATTAATTTAAATAGAATGATTTTGGAAAAAAAATATTCAATGTTTCCATTTAGAACGAAATTGAGCTAACATTTTCTGTATACGGTTGCAGACTTTGTATTGACCCAAACAGCATAATTTCTGAAAGTCTTATCCCGAAATTTAAAAGCTACCTTTTATGACTTTGTTTAACGGGTCACCTATATTTAGGTAGACTTTGCTTTCCATAGCATATTGCCTTTTCAACAAGCAGTTAAGTCAGAGCTACGTGTGACAGTTCGTACCTTAAAACAAAGGACTATTTCTAAAATATTTACTCCTGACAAATGTGTACGATGAATTAAATTTAATTCAAATTTTACTAGCTTCCCCTGGATCTAAAAATTCTGGTTCTTTGCTTTTAGAATATTTTTACTCAGATTATTAAATACATATAAACTGAAATGTTTAAATTTCAACTAAATAACAATTTATCGTTATGGAAACTAGGTTTAAATTCAAACTACGTAATTAAATTAAATATTTATATTATATAGTTTGTCTAAAGTAAGAACTTCTCCAGACATTCGTCTGGACTTGTGGTGGTGACTATGGTAACGAGATATGACTAGGGTTTCGGCAAGATAAAGAGAATCTCTTCTGTCTATTGAGTTAGTCCTAGAGTGAAGCCACCCTCCCTAAAATGCGCCATTCTTGTTTCCATAGCAACAGACGGCCTCAGACTTTGTGACGGGAATTTTTAGCTCACACAAAGTATAGATGGCTTTCCTTTTTGTTCTGTTTTGGTATTACACTAGCTAAATCGGTTCTGTAAGATTGTGAATATATTACGACTTTTGACAATAAGTCTTAAAATTATTTTTCTTAAATTTCGTTATCAAGGAAATGGGCTAGTTTTAATTAGTATTGGAGTCGAATGAGTAAATACTGATTTCATTTGTAAGAGAATTCCTAACTTCAAAAACCAGTGTTTTAAAACTTCAGTACCAATATTTTAAATATCCAGTTTTTAGAGAAACTTGGCTGTAGGCCGGATGCGAGTATTTAGACAGGTTGAGTGTAATTATTGTATTTAATATGAACACCAGTCCTTTGGGCACTTAATTCTTAATAGTTATCTTTGTAATTTATTTAAAACTACTCTAAAAAATTTCACTCAGAACTAAATTACAAATTTTTACTTTTTAAAAATATTTTTACCAAAAATAAATTTAAAAACTGCTATATGTAGCGTAATAAGTGCTTTTTTAAATCCAATTGCATACCATGAAAGCTAAACGTAAGATTTACATATTCCTAAACTTCTCAATTTTGATTGTTTGGAGTATTCTGAAATATGGATTTGACAGAAGATGCATAACGTATATTGTCGAAAAATCTCAAATTTACTACGAACTAGGCACAAAGCAAGTTAAAAGTAATTTTTTAAGTGTGTAATTTGAAAATTGAAGGTCTTGAAATTTATAATATCTATTTAAGAAAGTAGTCCTTTGCAATAGTTGAGTCCGATAGTGTTAATCGGAAATTCACTTAGAATAACTATTAAATCAACACTGCGACAACCAAAAACAAACTGAAGTTCCCAATTCGGTTTTAAATTTTTGTTCTAAGAAAATTTCTTTTAAAGTGCAGATTCCGATGCAGTGAAGTTGTGCATTTCTATTGTATCAGCAAAATTTCTACGGAAATGGCAAGTTAACTTCGTCTAAAACAACTCTAGATGGAGTCATTGTGCTGAATTTATGAAAAATTAAAATTTCACAGAACTATTAGTTTAATTGTTAATGTTTCAGTGTTAATTTATTTTAAAATTTAATTCTTTTAGATGGCTGAAAGAGAACCTACTCCTTCAAAAAGTGAGAAATCAACGTCACCAGCAGAGGAAGAACGTACTGAAGTACCAGATTTGGAGTCTGGTAGTGGTTCAATTCAGCATCCTTCATCAGAGACTGGAGAGTCTTCAGCAGTACCAGAAGCTGAGGCAGTTCCGGGCTCTTCTACGTCCTTCTTTGCCACACTTACTTCAAACATACAAGTTAGATTTAGAAGATTTACTAAAAAGAAAAGCAAAGGCGAGAAATGGTGGAGCAGAGGAAAGAAACAGAAAATATCCAAGGCTGAATATGCAAGACAACATGGAGGTTTCCTTCATTCTGACATGGAAGGTTATTTTGAAGAAGAGTCTAGTGGGATAGCCACTGAAAGTTCTGTGGTTGAAGAGTCCTCTGTGGCTCAATCTCCCCTAGAAAAGGAATTTCCTGATAAACCCGATTTAAAGGATGATCCCTCTGATGAAGACGCACCTCCAATGGAACAGTAGATCTGGAACACTTTCAAACAATGTTTAATTTGTGGGAGACTACGTTGCTATTTTTAAGCCCTTATCTTGCCGTTCCACTTTTATGACCTTGTTTAAATAAAGTTTTAATTCTTATGCTGCTATAGTTTAAAATTCTTTCTTTATTATTTAATTCTTGTCTTAGATTAGTTGAGTTATGTTCTCCAATTATTGCACTTGAAGTTTTAAAATACTCGCCTATTTTTCTGCTTAAACTTTGTCTTAAGATGACTATATACAACGGGATAAATCATTCGCGACAAATGTTAAACCTCCATTGTTAAGTTTAGATAAACTAGTTCAGGAAACCTTAAGTTTAAAAAATGTCCTTCATATCGAAAGGAAAATAAATTTATTCCAGGATAACTTCCCTCCCACGTCATCGTAATTTGCATCTACTTTTCGATGTTTAGCAAATTTTGTCACCTGTAAAACTTCATGGTTTATTTAGCTATGAAGGATTTCGTCCGATGTATAGCGTCATCTTGAGGCAGTGATTATTTAGTGAAAACTGAATAAATTGAAAACTTTCGGTGCATCACTTTAGACTGGCCATGAGTAATAGTTTTATTTCAGTTAAATCTTATTATACCGGAAGGCTACTTTTCAATCTAGCGTCGTTTGAGGACCAGCTCTCCTGTATGACATTTTACTAAGATCTGGCGCCATTCTTTGCTTCGCCACAGCGAAGAAGAGTTTAGTTCGTTCTTAAAAGGAAAAATATATTTGTTTTTCTCTAAAGAAATATTATTTATTGTTAGTCATATGTAGTTAGTCTATACTTTTTCACCATTCTTCAATTTTTATTTTTCGTATTCGTTGATACAATATTAATATCAAGGTTTTATACATAACTGTATAAAACTTGATCTTCATTCTTATTTTTTTTTAGGAGTGCAGTAGAATTTTATTCCGAAATTCGAAAAATATATAGCAGACTAATAAATTAGGCTTTGATAATTGAAGTTATCCGAAACAGTAACTTAAGAAGCATAATCGATGTAAACTACTTTTTAAGACTTAAAAAGCTAAACTATAATGTCAAAGAAATGTTAAGCTCTTTTCAGTTTTGTTGCAGACAGTAAAGTATTCAGTACATGAATATTCTTTCGAAATTTAAAAAACTAAGTTGAAAACAAATGGTGAAAGGGAAAAGGAGTTCGTTCTTACGTCTGCACCATAAACTTTTAGAAGATATATTTTAAAAATTATAAGTTTTTTTTTAAATGTAGAACTTTCTTTTGAAACTGTGATAGATTTATATAACTATGTTAAGGCAACCTTTAGTTTTTTTTAATATCGTAATAACTGCTGTGGAAAGTTCTTATTTAATTGTAAAATAGACAAGAAACTTTTAAAAGAAAGAGTATTTGAATTAACTTTTACCTACAAAGTATAATTATGAGATTATCTAAATCAAATTGTCGGCCAAATTATTTTTTAAATTATTCAATTAAATGAAATTTTGCATTTACTTGTAATTGAACACTTTATGGTGATTTTTTAATTTCCTAATAGAAAATATTTTGGGTAGAGAGTTTGTTCCATGAGAGATTCTTTGAGTGCGAACATGAAAAATCTGATTTATTGAAAAAAGGTAAATTTGGATCATAGGTAATGAGCTAAATAAGGGTTATAAGATAATTTAGTGAGCAAAAGATGTAGTAAATTATTTTAAGATATAGAGACTAGCTTATAAGATAAAGGTTTTGGAAATTATCAGTTGATATTTTTCAAATGCAAAATCATACGGCACAAATCATAAAATAACAATTGAATAAAAGTGACGTATAAATAAATGAAACAAAAATTGAAACGCTACTAAATCAAAATTTTTGAAATTACAATGAATAAACGTTACTTCTCGAAAATATAATACACTGAATCAATTTAAAATACATAAATCGAGTCAAAATATATTGAAATATTAAATTATATTTAAAATAAATTGTTATAAACTTAAAAAAATTTCATGAATTCAAATAAAATTATTTTTTGTGTGAAAAAAATATTTTCTGCAACTTCTGCAAACTATCGAAAAATTTAATTTTTGCTCTTTATGGAAATTGATTTTTAGTGCTCAAAATTTCACTACGAATTTTGGTAAACATGCTCATTTTGAAAAACTTTTGAGTTTTGTGTTAAATGGAGCCAAAATACTTTGTATCAGATGCATGGAATAGCTATTTCGTGAGTTTTGTGTCAAATCGAGCCAAAATACTTTGTATCAGATGCATGGAGTAGCTATTTCGTGAGTTTTGTGTCAAATAGAGCCAAAATACTTTGTATCAGATGCATGGAATAGCTATTTCGCGAGTTTTGTGTCAAATAGAGCCAAAATACTTTGTATCAGATGCATGGAATAGCTATTTCGTGAGTTTTGGTGTCAAATAGAGCCAAAATACTTTGTATCAGATGCATGGAATAGCTATTTCGATGAAAACGAATTGAAATCAAATGGTTGTGGAGAAAATTTTCAATGTATCTATTTATAACGAAACTTGGCCAAAATTTTCTGCGTACGGTTACAAATTTTGTATTGGAAATAAGAAATAATGGTGATCAAAATGACAAAGAAGAAATAGTCTCCTCCAATCAAAATTTCGATGAGAATGATTTTATTTTTATGGAAGAAAAAGGTCGGAGGGCGATACGCAAAACATTAAAGAAGACTATGTCGGATTCAAAGCTAAGTTAATGGAAAAAGAAAATTTCAGTTCAACCATCATAAATTTAAAAATAAAGCAGAGATAGTCTTACTAAAAGCAAAGGCCTTAGGTAAGCCACATGCAAAAGGCTATAAAAAATACATTGAAGAGAAAAATATTCTTGAGAGATAATATTGAAAACGAATCGCCAAATGCAAAATCACAACACACAAATCATAAAATAACTATTTTTTTCGAATGGCAGGCACTGAATTTTATTCGTTTCGCCTTAGAAGATGCCAGATGTGTTACTCATTTCGCGTTACCCAGTGGGCACCTGTGAGCCAAAGTCACGGAGACGAGTAACATTGCCCACGCCACACTGCCACAAACTCGTTCATAGGGTGGGCCACATTCACACATCGCACATAACAGAGGACAACACAAGAGAGAGAAACATCCATGCCCAGAGCGGGATTCGAACCCGCGCCCATTTTCTTCGCAATCAGGTGCGCTAACCGCTCGGGCACATAGCCGGCCATAAAATAACGATAGAATATATTCGAATAAAAGTAACGTATAAATAAATGAAACAAAAATTGCATAACGGGAAAAATTTAAATGTATGAAATTACAATAAATTAAGCATTACTACGCTAAAATATCACAGCATTTACGAAGAAAAAAATAAATTTCTTTAACCGTTATAACATATATATACATAACTGTTTTTTTCTTTTTTCCTAGCATAAAGTAAATAGGGATGAATAATTTACAATTTCTAATAGTATGAGTTTACTCAAAACAAAAACAATCTAAATATTATTTGGTTTTGCAACCAGTTTTTTTTCCCAGCTGATTTCCAGTTTTGCTTCAGATTCTTCAAAAGTTTTGGGACCGAATGCTTCAGTTTCTTTTATTCAAGAATATCTAGAACTCTACTTCGTAGAATAAAGGGTTAATAATGACCCACCTAATTGTTCACATAAATCAACACACGCCAATCAAGTCATGGCTTATGTATATGATCAATTTAGGGTCATGAGCCTTTCTGTGCCCCTGTGTTCTGCAATATAAAAGACATACCATCAAGTGATATTCTTCTTGTACTTTATTGAAATTTCGAGTTTTTTTTTTTGATAATTTTTTTTCACGACGAGTATGTACGCGTCAAGCACGCTTAACTGGTAGAAACAAGCTTAATAATATAGTTTAAGTTAAAAAATAAAAATAAATAAAAAATAAATGAAATCTTTTTTACGCTTCGAAAAATTTAAGAATATTTTGTTAAAAATAAATATTTATCGTAAAATATTTACATAAAAATAAATTCAAAATATGGATTAAAATTTTTATGACTCTATGTCGTTCGATTGTTTCTTTTTTTTCAGTTAAATTAAAATGGCTTTTTTATTTGGTCTTACTGTTGATTGTATTATTACCCTCCTATTTAACAGGGACCTCAAATGAAGATGATTTTGTCCACGTATCAACACACTTTAACACTCCATTGCAGCACAAAGACAGAAGCGTATTTTGCGTATTTCGCCATATCTCAAGAAATTTTTAGGTGAATTGAATTAGTTTTTTCACACAGTTATATAATTCGTATATCCAAAGATAATTCCACTAAAAAAATGACTATTTTATTTTATAAACTTATTTGATAATATTCTAAAACATTTTGAATAGAAACATACACATTTTTATATCCTTTAAAAGAATGTAATTTTGAACGGTAGAAAACAAAATTTGAACGAAATCGGTCGAATGATTCCTGAGAAACTGAACATTCTCAGGATTTTTTGTTATCATTATTTTGTTACATTTTGAGTTTAACAATATTAAACCTACAATAATTTAAATAATAATTTAATGCTTTTTTATTAAAATTTTCTGCGTCATATTTGAGAGAACCTTTAACCTTCTGGGTATTGAGTTTTAAAAATGGCAGAAAATATGGTTTTTCTGAGAAATATGTTGCTTAGAAAGAAGCAAAATCATAAATGTGATTAAAACAATTTATTAAAAAACTCAATAAAGTTTAATGAGATTTTTTTTTACTAAAAAATTATAAATTTTAATATTGTGGGATATTGAAGGATAGTTTCCTATTAATAATGTTTTTCGTCAGATTTCGGTTACAAAATGAAATACGCAAGACTCTAATAAAATATTTATCAGCCTTAAAACTGTTCAAAAGGTTACCTCTATCTAATTTATTAAATCTAATTAATAAATAATTAATTAATAATAATTTATTACTAAATTTATTTAGCAAATAATAATTAATTAACAAATTTATTTTTAGTTGTGATTAAAATTTTGTCTAACGAAGGTAAAACCAATTATATTTTTACAGAAATTCTTTATAAAGGCATACTAACAGAAAAAAAAAATCATTAAAAAATAATATTTTACAAGGGATGCAATTGTACCTAATGTTGTCCATGT